CCAATCAAATTTTTTATGAAGGCCTATAGGCGGTAAAACTTCAGATTACGAACTACAAATGTTTTCTCTTGGTATCTCTGGGATATATCTATTCCCAATCAAGTGTACTATCCATGGATTTGTGACAAAAATATCTTATAAAGTGACCAGCGGTCTGGTCAGTACTAAACCATCTGGCAAGTGCACACGGATCGGAAAGGCTTAGGAGAAAAGTTGTTCTACGGAACAGGGCATCATTGACGTTGCTCATCCCCTCGTGTGAAACTGTCAATTAGACGCGTGCATACGTATCGATTGCTCTGGTTGGCAGTGACGTCACTGATGCAAGTTGTGCATCCACTTCCATATTTATCTTATTGCTATCTGCTCACTAGAACGGGATAACTTCGTTCACATGTCACTAGCCGAGCTAATTGCATTGAATGACGGTCACCATTCAGTTGGCCCTCTATTCTCAAACAGGCCTGACCTCGACAGAGACAGACAGTTTTCACAGTGAGAAGGTTTCAAGGACAACAGGTAGAACAAAGATTGCATGAAGCTTCATTTCGGCCGCTATTCAAAACTGGGAGCACTGAAAACTTTATCCCTAATTTGAACCCAGGTGGTTTTTAATTGCAACCTAATTGTTTCATGAACCTTGAATGGTAAAGCAAATCGCGCTTGTCCAGTCTAATGATCGGTAATGGCCAGTTGTCCGGCTTACATGAACGTGGTTATCCAACAAGAGAAAGCATCTGCTGACTATCCGTCTTCAAATCATCGGCTTAAGCAACGAAATGAAAGTTTTCCAGAAATACACTCATTTGTAAATCAATTTGGTTTTCACGAGTTTGGGTTCAAGTAGAACATGAGGTTAGCGGAAACTCAGGGACTGCGCCTACCCGATGAGCCCCAAGAAGGGCAAAACCGGTCGTGGGCTGTCGAAATGTTTTCAGCAGCCTTGTGAGTAGTTTCATTTGTAAAACGAAAATTTCTTCACCAGCCTGTGGGCTGTTATTCCCTTTCCGATAGGCTTTAGTACGGCTACAGCTCACTTGACCAGGGAACGGTAGGAGGGATTGAACAATTGGGTTTATACGCCTTGAAATGATCACACACTCTAAGAGTACATAGAACCAGGGGAACAGATGCGTTCGTGTATATCATTGCCAACGATACCTACCCGGATTGAACAGCAAACCGCTGTTGTTTCTATTCTCTCATCTTCCGTTATTTTCCATCTTCTGAAATCCTGATCTGTCATCTGCCTTCAGTATTACTCAATAGTTGTGCTCCCCAGAAAAAACAAACAGAAGGCTAACTATATCCATTACCAAAGGAGTCGTTCTAATATGCATCCCCGATTGTTTGCAATATGAATGTAACTCGAAAATGAGTCCCAAATGAAATGCTGACAAGAAGACTTCGAAATTATATGAATTCAGCCTGTAGGATTGTTCTCCTGTGTCTGAGTTTCATTCCCAATTCCGCCATCAGTTTGCAGGAGGAGGCAAAATGGCAAAATGTAGCACCAGCTTTTATGCACAAACAGGCGTGTGTTCGTGTCGGACGCAGTATGTTGGCTGACGGCTTGACTAGCCCTTCGACAAAGAGGACAAAGTACAATGAATGAGTATCTTTGTAATGTACTACTCATAAGGTTGCTGCCCACGACCGGTTTCACCCTTTTTGGGGCTCATCAGGTAGGCGCAGTCCCCGGGTTTCCGTCAACCTTATGTTCTAATCGAATGAGACTGTGTGAGCTGCGGATTTAAGATGCCCAGATCCAGTGGTGAAAACCGCCAACAACAATGGCGCCTCACCGGATGCCACAAAATTGAGTACGGGCTGTGCTCTTCTTCCGACCAGTACCGATTACGGGGATCAACGAACAATCTTGTACTCAGAATAAACTCGCACGTTCTTTGAATATGTTGGCCAGCAAACTGACCCGTTTCGAAGGCCATTTTTTGAGATAAGTTAGTTATTTTTACTTTTGTAAAATCTCGCTCCCACTCATGGATTTTTTGTAAAATATTACGCCCGTCATACTTTTATTTGAATTCTCGGTGCAAAATGTCTTCTGACCAACCGAGGAAAACAAAACCTTTAGGTAATCTTCAGCATCCTCAGTCTACTGAATGTTGTAGTCTCCGTCGATTGTCCACTTTCAGCGGCTCGAACAAGCGCATCCAGGCTGAAAAATATCACTGTCAGTCATTTTAACTTTAGGCAGTTTGATTAGGTTTTGGAGATACGACCAGATCCTTTCATGGCGCGACAGTTGCCCTCATTGCTCTTGATAGGTGGATGGATCCGCTCGCGTCCAGCACCACGTTCCGCTCGAACTCTTGGTTTATGCGGGATCCAATAATCACCCAAAGCATTCAGGATCCACATAGGCAGGAAATGGACAGAGACATATGTGGATGCTCAAACAAACTTCCCGATGACTCTCATCCTCATGGACAGCGTGACATCAATGTTCAACACCGATGCGTGATTAGAATACTTGCCTAAAACACAAAATTGCCTACTTTGTTAACAGCAAATTCAGGGATTAAGACGTAATGCGACTAGCAGGAAACTTGCACATTTGATAGGTACGCGTTTTATCCGCGTCAGGCATAGGCTGCTCACTGTAAGTTCATGCCATACTAGAGTGTGTTGTACCTGAAGTCTCTGTAATAAATGCGGCTCTGATAGTTGTTGAGCAGTTACAAACTCACCTAACAAGTTCCCAACTTCATTCTAAAGAGCCGTGCAGAACTACACACTTTGTGAAACAGAATTGCGCTCTTAGCGAATATACACTCATTTGTAAGCTAATTCGGTTTTTCTAGAGACTCACCTGGAACCCAGCTGAATCTCTCGTTTGTGCTGTTCTCAGGCATCACAGAACATCACAAACGAGAGATACAGCTGGGTTTCAGGTGAGTCTCTCGAAAGACCAAATTAGTTCGCAAATGAGTGTATATTCGCTAATTTCGTGCAATTTGGTTTCAAGTAGAACATAACGTTGACGGAAACCCGGGGACTGCGCCTACCTGACGAGCCCCAAAAAGGGCGAAACCGGTCGTGGGCTGTCGACGGATTTTCAGCAAGCTTATAAGTAGTACATTACAAAGAATCGCGCTCTCTTTAGAGAAACTCCTGAAGAAGGGGAAGGCTGTAGGTGATGTGAGGACCCTAATCCATCGAAAACCTCACCCGAACAGTGACGTCTTGTTTGACCTTAAGAAAACCAGTCAAGCGTTCTTGAAAAAGGTCTTCCTAACAGAGTTGCGTTGGACAGATAGCCGACCTTAGGAAACAGACTGAGCAAGTGACGCCCAGGTGTTTTCACTTCGGTAGCTGACATACCTGATGAGCATTTGAAAGCACAGGCTTTTTAAAAACCTTGTGGAAGTGGTTCGAAAATCTGAACTGAGAGTTAGAATAGTCAGCTCCATATTAATCATTGTAAGTAAATGTTTTGCCCCCACGGCTAATCAAAATGATCATGTGCTTCCAGTGCTTCGATAAAGTTCTATTATTGGGCTATTGCAATAGTAACTTTGATGTCTCTGCAGTCATGTGATCTTCCCCCAGTAGAAGAATGAAAGTGGAACAACCGAGGTGACGCGTTTTTCAGGTTCTTCCTGAGATTCTTTCAGCTAACGCTTTGAAACAGTGGCGAGAGCTGGAGATATGGACTGTGAGGGCTTTCTGCATTTCTACCCCTTTTACCGACCGACTTATTGGAAAGGTTCCTGGATCCGAAACACAACAACCTGTCTAAAGAGTTTTCTGTCGGATGGGAGGCGTTCGTTGCGGGAACCGTTATAGCCCACAAAGGACACTCTCCCTACCACCCTAATATGAAATATTCAGGCAAAATTTCTAAGGTGCGCCGACAGAAAGTGTAAATTGTCTTTACATAGACTAAAGACAACTCAACGATAAGGTGACGTGGGAACGTGATGAGCTTCGACACTATGGAATGCCGCAACTTCTGTTTAATTAATACCCATATTTCTGTTAATAGGTTTAAGTCCCTCCGCGAGTCATCTCGAGACTCTTATTAAACTAACTCGCGAGAGACGCTAAGTGCGTGGGACGTATAGCTCCCACGTCCTATGAGCATATCGACAACCGCAGTGTTTGGCTACAGTTTGCCAAGGCTATTAGCCGCTCGTTTATTACTTGACTGAAGTGAATTGCTTTCGAGAAACTTTGTACATTGATTTGAACATCCCACCATTGCATCTTTATCACCAGTTCAGATGAGCGTTAAAACACTCACTCATCCAAACACGATTGGTGAACACAATTTGGATGAGTTGCATAGGCCCCAACCCATGCCAACTGACTGTTGGTTATCTATCCGCCTACCAACCTATTGATCTCGTCCGGACGTCCTTTCGCAACTGATTGGCTGTCCGGAGCAACCCATATTGTCCTGACTAAAAATACGAACGTCTGCAGCGCGTAACCTGACTGGATGCACGCGAAACCAATCAACTGACTGGATTAAGTAATAAGAAAAATCCAGGACAGAGAATATGCATGCACATGTGGAACCCTGAGCGCACCAGAGAACGTGCATGAATGTGGGACGGTGGAACAAAACCGTTGGAGGACAGACGAACAAAATGGTGTGTTGATTTGACGCCACCCGACGGCCATAACACAATATCCCACCTGGTGGTAGATTAATTAAACCGGTAACTCCGCGGTGTGCATTCGGTTTGTTACGTGTAACGCGTGAGGTCATTGCGGAATCAGTCGAACCGAACCTTCTCTCTACTATTCAACTGTTCGTGCTATGCGCTCTGTTTGGATTGGATAACACTAACTTATATTGCTGAAAAATGACCAACCAGATCAGCACATGGCAGGGCTGATAAATTTCTCCGAAGGAACTCCCTGACACATCTCTAATTCGTCTATTTTGTCTCTCCTACATTCACCAATTGAAAGCCATCAGTGAATAGCCTGGGCCGTAAACCGACCAATGTTGTCACGCTCAACAAAATATGGCTGAGTGGAGCACTGTAGACAGCCCGAAGAAAGCGCCAATGACCAGCTCGAATGATGGCAACTGTGTGAGTGATGATTACATCCCGTTCAGCGATATAGGTTCCGGTACGAACCAGGAACGTAACCTGTTGGATGACACGATGGATAAGGGTAACGGTCGAACTCCGCGTGTGTGGGCAACAACGCGTCTATATCCTGTATTGTGTGGAAGGTCCGCGAAGTTCTGGTTCGCACTTCTACTCGTTTGCCTATTAATTACCTTCCTGCTATTTGTCACATTCCTCGGGCTATGGGTGTCGCAAAACAAGAAATTATCGAGTGAGTCTTTGGCACACATTTTTGCGAAGACGAGTTCTTGCACAAATTTCGATTCGAATATTTTAGCGAACGGATATAGACTGGACACTTATTCCCATCTTTGTATGAAGTCGTTTAGAAACTTGAGTGACCTATGCCCCCTAAACCAAATAAAAAATTTTGTATTGCACTACTCATAAGGTTGCTGAAAACCCCTCGATGACCCACGACCGATTTCGCCCTTCTTGATGCTCATTAGGTAGGCACAGTCCCCGAGTTTCCGTCAACCTTGTGTTCTACTTGAACCTAAATTGCACGAAATTAGCGAATATACATTCATTTGCAAACTAATTTGGTTTTTCGAGAGACTCACCTGGAACCCAGCTGAACCTCTCGGTTTTGATGTACCTAGGCGACTGAATGTACTGCACCATGCCGCCTCATACTTCAGTCGCTACGGTATTCGAAATATGGCGATACATATATATTTTGTAATGCAAATAAAAAATTGACTCAAAGGTGAAATTAGAAAGTGGTTGGGATTTGCACAGAGAACATGCGTCTTTTGGAAACGTTACTTACAAAGGAAGTTTCTGTACACATGACTGCCTGTTCCGCCTTACATAGACATCGAGGTCTTCAGGGCAGAAAGTCAGTCAAACCCATCTGTCTGTACTTGAAGTTTTCATAGGCTAAACGTAGCTCCACACACTTTAAGCCCATAACTAACCAGCCCAGTATGTCAGTAAATCTCCAGTATTTGATTAGGATGGGTTGCTAAATTGTTATTCAACTGTTATTCGGCTACCTGAGTCTGTATTACTCCCGATTACTTCCTGATTGCTTACTTCTCATTTTGTTTTGCAACATCTCACGATTTCTGCTCTAACTCAGCCGAGGTTTCCGAACTCGCCTACTCAAAACTGGTTGTCTGTCGTCAGGTGCTGTCGAAATTTTATGCAGGTTGGCACTTTAATGAAAAAGATACTAGCGGCAAAAACAACAGTCTCGTTTGCCCTGAAACGGAATGAAATGAAACAAACTACAGAGCTAGTTGCACCGTGAATATGAATCCAGAAAGTAACGTGACCAGTCAACAAAAGCAGGGCTGTTCCAGAGTAACGTTCAATGCTCTGTGAGTGCACGATACTGCTTTCAATCGACTCTTCCACATTGCTTCAAGGATATTACATCTGTACAATTGTTTGCTCCGTGCAAATAACGGAGTGTGTCGTGTGTCTGGTGATCAATGACGAGATTTTCTTCTCGGTTAGGGTATTTCCAGCCGACAGTGTGCGAAGTTGTTTGGTCAGACACGCTTTTGCTAACACCTCTAACGCCTGGTTAGTTTCTACCAATGTATGCTCCTTCGCAGCTGCAGGTGAACGTAATGATTGCGCGGTAAAATTGACGTTTGTGGTACCGTTAGCAACAATTACATAGCCCTTGTTGTTGAGTTATGCTACAGTGCATGTTTGGCGCAGGTGAATACTTTTAACTAGAGGAACAACTGGAATAACTAGAGGCATGGTCACCGCGGTAGGGAAGTTTCAATGACATCTACTTCTCCTCCTCAACCGCCATCACTCTCTTTGGTCGCTCTTTGAAACAGTAAGGCTAGATTTTTTGGCCTTAGCACGCACTTGCGTAACTTAATCATCGAGTCCACCTGGAGTATGTATCAGTCTTTCCCTATGAGCTGAAGCCTCAAACGAGGCACTTTGTGCTGTGCGGTCAGTGGCTTGAAAAGTTAAGGTACTGTCTAGTCCAAACAGGTTTTGAGCAGACGAAATGAGACATAGTATCTCTGATGATCTAAACGTTCGCTGAAGGAATTCTGTCTTTTATTACGGGGTCATAGATAAGCTGTGCTGATGGAGCGTGCTAGAAAGTAAGATCACACAATGAACCAGTTGCTTCTTCACAATCCACCAGCCGACTATCTTTCATGCAAAGAGAGTTGGTGAGTTCTTATTCCTTTTTGAATAATCAATTCCAACTATAGAAATATTAGCTAAGTTTCATCTCAAAGCAAGCTCCATAAAAAACATCACCACTTTCTTTTGGCTGATTTCTTGAAGTAAATACAGATATTTTTGGTAAACAGTAAGACATGTCCTTAAGCATAGGAGCTGGTAGTTCTGCCAAATTCGAGTGAGTCCTTAGATAACCACCTGGAAATGTCGGGAGAAGCATCGGTGCAAGGTGAATCTGTATCAAACGAAAAGATTATCGAAATAAGACTTGTAGATCCCTTTCAAACTGTGGTGGTTGGCTGTAGCTTTCTGAACAGCTACCAACTAACTGGTTTACTGGTGATCAGTCAAACTGTTGCGAGCTAAAATAGAGCCATGAAACTGAGTGATAGAATGAACCTAACAGGCCCAGGCCTATTATTATCCATTCTGAGAGGTAAATCTGCTTTTCTGACTCTCATTTCAATACCGTTTCTTATCGTTCTTCACGGATTCCCAACCTTTCTGACAGATGCGAAATGATAAGTCCTCTTCTGATTACCGTTCATCTTGTATACTCCATTTGCAAGGAGAATACACCAACTTCGTTCTCATAGTTCATCTCATAGTTTTTGTCCAATAGTTGTTGACTTTGAAAGTTGATTCATTTCTGAGTCTCCAGTAACAAAGTTTGCCACAGGTGCTGAAAACTCGACGAAGTCAAAAAATGATCCTAATCAGGGACAATTTCCTCGCCGATGACCCACATCAGACATCATCAGGACCTATAATTGTCGTTGTTTCCGCTTTATCTCGACTCTAGACAAGCTGTAACACGCACCATCAGTCTGATGTTTTTTTTCCATCTGTAAGTGCGCACGCGAACACTCTCCTGGCAGTAGCAGACCAAAATCGAATTCTGAAGACAGTAAAGTTCATTACGCTTACAAATTCCCACTGAGTTAACTATAACAGTAAAAAAATAGTAATTTTCTGCCGGCACATTCGAGATTGTCTACAACCCGAAAGAGAATTTATTCACTTCATACATTCTCCGTGTGAGTACGTTCCATTCTAGGAATGATAACCACCTCTTTCTTCCACAGCCATGAAGTTCTTTCAGAGAGGGGATCCGTTTGAACTAGTTGTCCGAACAGCATCCCAGTGGCTGAAGGATAACCAGAGGACATAAGTGATGGTCTGAGATCGATTGACGACTAACCCGTGTTTGCAAATGAGTGTATTTCGCTGATCCGCGGTTTCCTTGTTCGGTCACTGAAAGACTGCGTTGGTATTGGATTGAAACAGCCTGTACTGGCCAATGTGATACTAAACTTTAATTTATCGCGATGGTTATCTGTGGCTATCTGTGTGCTTCGCTCCGTCTTAATGTGGCTTTATTGCAACTGGATCGATGGCGGAAAGGTTTGTTACTTTAACCACCAAGCCTCACATTACTTTATTATTCCTTTGAACACAAAAGACAGGAAGCCTTTCTAACCTATACTAATCAATAACCTGACGAAAGGGTGAAAACAAAGCTGGTGTTGTATCGAGAATCTGTAAGGTCTCTCTTAATGTGTACTGCAAAAATTACTCGAGGTAGAGTTGGGACTACTTTTGATGCATCGATTTAGTATTACTCGATAGAATATACTATTCCTAAGGTTAGTGCAAACCACTGGATGGCCCGAGGCCAGTTTTTCTATGCTTGTCTTCCATCGAGTAGGTTTAATTCTAGAAACCCCATCGAATCTTTCTTTCCAGCCACACAAGGAGCATATTACATTGAAGAAGACAAAAACACAATTTGATGTGAAGTGGGTGGCTCACTTTGTGCTGAGAGAAGACCGATTCAACCAGTTTTCCATTCTGTACGCAGCTGTAATAATAATAATAATAATAATAATAATAGCAGTCGTTCACCTGAAACGTCCTTTCGGTGTCCAGCTGCTATGCCACCCAAAGGAAGCACCGGGACTGGGATACTGCCAGGTTGCTCAAGTCTAGACAGAACTCGAGATGCAGAAGTCGAGTTCGAACCACAGACCTTCCGATCAGTAAATTCGCGCTCTAACTACTGAGCCATCTTGCCCATAGCTGTGACACAAAGCCAACGCACAAGCTAGGATAACTTAAGCTGGCAAAAACCTGGACTTGAGAAAACGAAGAACCAAGAACCCCTCGATTAGTCCCTCACACACTATGTTCCGGACTAGGATAGCACTGCCTACTGCGACAGTTGTTTGCGACCCATCTTTCTGTGCATTCGGAAATCCTAGTAGAATCAATGGAAACCTTGAGTTTTACTTGGTTTGCTTTTCAAGTAACTCTCCCGTCCAAAACCTCTGATAGCGATGGTGCAAACGCAATTGTTTGGTGCTAGCGATCACATACAAAACCCCAGATACAGACAATGGTTATATCGGGATAATTCACAACTGTTTATCCTGCTTGTGAATCCAGACAGAAAATTTTGGTAACCCACGTGACGGGATCGGATTTTTTCCGGGAAACGTGAATTGCGAAGGTTACCTCACAATTCCTATATGAGTAGTGAAATCAACAAATTATTGTGCCGTTTCTTCTCCGTTGGCACGTCTACCGTATGACTAGTTAGAATATTATACTGGTCACGAATATCAGCATGTTCTGCCATTGCAAACCTAACTGTAAAAATCCCGTAACATATTGATACTTGGGAGTATTTTCTCAAAACTGAAAGGGGCGGGATCAGAGATGAAGTACCACAAACATCTAAGGGCTATCATAGTAATCATCCTGTGTGTAACGCAAAAGATCACGTGTTAGTTACTCCTAACTACAGCCATCCATGGATTTCTGATTCATTTTCTGGTTTTGGTTTTAAAATGGCAAAGATGAAACGTTTTCGACTAT